CCTGGACTTTGTCACTTATGTCACTGTCTCAGATTTGTAGATTAATTTGGGGAAAGACGGGAAGACTACTGATTTTTTTCTTTTTTTTTTAGTTGGAGTCTCACTCTGTCACCCAGGCTGGAATCCAATGGTGCAATCTCAGCTCACTGCAACCTCCACCTCCAGGGCTCAAGCAATTCTCCCTTCCTCAGCCTCCCAAGTAGCTGGGATTACAGGCACCCACCAACACGGCTGGCTAATTTTTTATTTTTAGTAGAGACAGGGTTTTGCCATGTTGTCGGCCAGGCTGGTCTTAAACTCCTGACCTCAGGTGATCTGCCCGCCTTGGTCTCCCAAAATGCTAGGATTACTGGCGTGAGCCACCTTCCAGCCCAATTACTGATGACATAGAAATAATCCTTTACAGCCGGGCATGGTGGCTTATACCTGTAATCTCAGCACTTTGGGAGGCCAAGACAGGCAGATCACCTGAGGTCAGGAGTTCGAGACCAGCCTGGCCAACCTGGTGAAACCCCACCTCTACTAAAAATATTAAAAAATTAGCCAGGCTCGGTGTTGGGCACCTGTAATCTCAGCTACTCAGGAGGCTGAGGCAGGAGGATCACGTGAACCCAGGGGAGGGGTGCGGGGGTAGTTGCAGTGAGTGAGCTGAGATTGCGCCATTGCACTCCAACCTGGGGCAACAGAATGAGATTCCATCTCAAAAAAAAAAAAAAAAAAAAAAAAAAAAAAAAAAAAAAAAAAAAAAAAAAAAAAAAAAAAAAAGGACAAAGAAAAAAAGAAATAATCCTTTACATCTTAACTCATGGAGAAACTGAAGCCAGAGAGGGAAAGTGAGCTGCCTGAATTTCTACAGCCCATGGTGACTGGTGGACCCTGCCCACCAGAGGCCAGGGTGCCTCTGAGAATGTCACCTCGACCCCTTCCTCAGGGTTCTCCCCAGTTAAACAAAGGGCAAGACTCACCCACCTCCTTCCAGACAAGCAGACCCAGGTCCCCACCAGTGGGAAGGGCTCCTCGTCCCAGCTCCCTGGGTATCCTGTTCCAAAGTGGAGCCCAGCTAGAGCCCTGACCGGGAGGTCACTGAAGTCTGGGCTGAGGGACAGCCTGCCTTGTCCCCTCCTGCCACATATTCTTGGCCATCAGGCTGCTTCTAGAGACAGAGGGCAACAGGACCCTCAGCTTCCTGGGAAAGCCTCGGGATTAGAGTGAAGGGAGCTCAGGCCCTGGCTCCAGCCGGAGCTCTGCTTCCCGCCCCAGGGCTTCTGCATGCCAAAGAGGTCACCTGGGGACTAGGAAGCGGGATGTGGGGGGGGGGGTTGTGGGGGGCAGGCATCAGCAAAAGTTAAAAGACCGGAGTCTGGGCTTGCCTGGTGAGGAACCAGACGCCCGACTTACAGGCCAGGCCTACCTCCCCAAGCCCTAGTCCCTCCAGAGAACACCAGTGGAAGAAACATGTCCACAGCTCCCACCCTTCCCCCACCAGGCCCTGTAGCTTTTGGCCCCATTCTCAGATGCCGTGAGGTGCTCTCTACCCTCCTCCTTGGGATCCTGATCCTGCAAACACCCAGGGACCTGAGTGACAGGAAGGCAGCCAGCTTCTCCAGCAAGGCAGAGCAGGGAGGGGCAGTTGGAGGAGGAGGGGCTTGGTAGGGCCGGAGAGAGCTGGGCAATGCAGGGGTGGCCAGGACGCAAAAGGTGTCTGACTCAGGCTCCAGGTCTGTGCAGAGGGCTCTCCCGACCCGGGAATCTCCTAGCATTCCTGATCCGTGACTCACCTCGATGCCCCACCCCAGGGAGCCACCTGTTCCCCCTAAATCTTGGCCTCTGGGCCCCACCTCGGCCCTACCTCGGCTTATAGGCTCAAAACCGCAGGAGTAAGGCCAGTATGAGGAGGCCGCCTTCACCAGCAGGGCCCAGAGCCACGATGGGGAGGAAGAGACAGGCTCTGTGAGGAATGAGCCCCCCAGTCCTCACCTCCAGCTGGGAACTAAACAAAGGTCATGCCCTGTTGGAAGCAGGAGTCCTAGGGGCACTGTCTCAGGCAAACCTTTCCCAGAAGTTTCCCCTCTTCAACCCACTTCATGCCCACGCCCTGTGCCCTGCACACTCTTGGGAACCAGTCAAACCCGGGCTTCCAGGTGTCTGGTGCCAGCTCGCCCTGCCCAGCCTGTGGCTGCATGCCCAGCTTGGTGCCCACCTTCACCCAGCCAGGCACGAGAACACCCCTCAGCCCACCCTGTTGCAGGAAGCAGAGCCCAGGACCTTCTCCCCAAGGTGCGAACAGGGCCTGAGAAGGATGCGTTACAGCTGAGCTCCAGGCTGTGGGCAGGAGCAAGGGCTGCTCTGTGGGCTAGCATGGGAGGGGGAATGCCCAGACTCAGCAGAGTGGGAGGCCCTACCGGTCCAGCTGCAACCGCAGGGGTGAGGGGCTCTGGCGGATCTTGCTCTGGGCCTCGGCATGCAGCATGCCTTCCGCACTTTCCCCGTTGATGGCCACAATGATGTCTCCAGGCCGGAGGTCAGCGGCCTTGGCTTTGCCCCGCTCAGCCACCTGTAGGGATGAGGAGCTGGTAGGCTCAGACTGGGGCCCACCCCAGGAGGGGGACTTCCCACTCTGCTGCCCACAAAACACAGAGGCTGGTCTGACGAAGGCCGGCCTGCTGCCTCCTGCACGGCCCTCTGCCTGCTCATGGTTGGCACCCAGATGATCAGCCGCCCCCTCCACGAGCATGGGTGGCAGCCGCCCTCCTCATGCTGGCATTCTAATGGGCCTCCCAAAGAATGTGCAGCGGCAGAATTTCAGGAACTGTGCTTGGAAATACTTTTGGATAGAGAGCCTTGCCCGTGCAAATCACACGTTGCAGGTGGCTGCCTGCACACCCTCCTGAAGACGCTCCCAGCCTGGGCCCGGGTCAGGCGGAGACTGCCAAGAACTCCGGGGCTCTTGTTCTAGTAACCACTCAAAATGGCTGCCTGCAGGTGAGGGGACAGCAACTGGGAGGCGAAAGCAGGCCCTGTCCTCGGCCCAGCTCCCTTTCACTCCCAAGGTCTGTTCCTGAAGTGGCCGCCACATCCCTGTGGCGAAGGGCTATGGCTCCCGGGCAGCCAGCATGCCGGGCAGCAGCAGGTCCCCAGCTCCAGAACAGAAAAAGCCAGCCATCTGTGCAGACGGGGATGGACAGGGCTGGCCTCAATTCTGGGGGACCTCCCCATCTCTTGGAGCTGCCACCCTTACCTTGGTCACCATGATGGGCGTGTGGAAATCCCTGCCCCCTGTGATACGGAAGCCCCAGGGAGCCGGCCCAGCCACATCCACTGTCAGCGCCATACCTGAGGAACAGAGGACCAGGAGGTGAAGTCTTTGTCCCCACTCAGCCCGGGGGCACTGTAAGGCAGCAGGAGAGGGGCCGTAGGGAGAAGGAGAGACACCACAACTCCTGGAGAAGCCACTCCGGGGCTCTGGGGTGGGTAGAGGAAGTGGCTAACTCCCTCCCTCACCCCTGAGTTTCACTTCCCCCCACCCTGGGAAGCCATGCCTCTGGGTTCTCCGTTCATCTTCAGCTCAGGGAGCGACTCCCAGGAGGGGGCTGTCAAGCTGCGGGCGGAGGGCTTGTTGAAGCATGGGGGTCAGGGGCTGGCAAGTGGAGGAGAGGCCAGCACCCCCCGGCCACCCCTCCTCCACCAGCAGGGCTCAGTCCCACCAGCCCTTGCTTCCTGTCCCCAAAACCCACAGAACAGGGTACTTCCTCTCCACTCTGGGGGAGGGTGGGTGAGTGGCCTGGGGAGAGCAGGGCTCAGGGAGCAGGAGTGTCAAGTCAAGGAACCAGGTGGCACCAATACAAACTGTGCAAGTCCCTGGCCAGGTGAGGGGCTGGTGGGGTGAGGCCAGGTCTTCACTGGGGCCTCCTAGCTGCCCACGTCTTTTGTTCTTGGCAATATGGCTCACATGGGCAAGACCGGGCTCCCCACCTCCCCCAGGGGCCTGCTGCCAGGGCAAAGAGACCAGAGCTCATCTGTCAAGCTGTGCACACCCACTCCCCAGATTCCCGATGCTGCCTGCCAGCCGGGGTGACAGGCCTCCCATCCACAAGCCCTCTGCTGGGCAAGGGAGTGCCCCTGCAGACAGACCCTTGTGGGATTTCCTGAGCCTCTAGCTCTGGAGCCAGGAGCCAACCCGGGCAGGAAGCCGCGGTGCCAGGCTGGGCACCACCCTGCCCAGCACCCATCCTGAGGCTGCCCGGGGGACACAAGTGCTACAGGACTCCATCAAGAGCACCAGCAGTCTGTCCTCTCCATCCCCGGCCGGCTTCCCCTTGGGCCCAGGCCTGGCCTCTGTCCCCAGCACCGCCCCCACCCCAGTCCCCGAGGCCGGCGCTGGCGGCTTACGGCAGCCCTGAGATTCCCAGACCTTTGAGCCGGTCAGTGGACTCCGCGCTGCGGGCGCCGCGGGGAGGTGCCCAGCCCGATGGCCCGGCTCTCCCAGTTCTGGAGCCTCCTTCGCTCCGAGGGCAAAGTACCGTGCGGGTCGAAGGCTGGAGAAGGAGCGCGCGGGCCGAGGAGAGCGCAGCCCGCCGGGGCGCCCCCGCGGAGGCGAGGCTGCAGGGAGCCTGGCCGCGGACGAGGCCGGGGTCCCGCGCCGAGAGTGGCGCGGGGACGGGCCCGGCGCCGGGAAGGGCGGGCCGCGCGGAGGGGCGCAGGTGGGCCCGCTCACCTGGCTGCCGCTCACCTGTCGGGCTGGGCGCCCAGGCCGGGGAGGGAGGGAGGGCAAGGAGACGATGTCGCTCCTGCTGCCGTCTGCCCGACTCTGGGGAGAGCCCGCCCGGGGCTCCGGGACCTGCCTCCGCCCATGTGATCCCAGGGCCGCCCCTGCCGCCGCCCCTGGCCAGGGAAGCCGCCGCCTCCGCGCGACGAGCCCGGGCGCTGCCACCTGGCCCGAACCCGTCGGGGGGATGGGGCGGGCTGTCCCCAGGGCTCCTTCGAGGCTGCGGCTGTCCTCTCGGTGGCGCCCGCAGCCTCCCCGGAGCGCCCGCACGCACCCGACCGCCCGGAGCAGAGAGGAGCCGGTCCAGGGACGGCCCCTCGCCCCACTTTGCAGACGGCCCAGAGGGCAGCCGCGCTCCCGCGCCCCGCATCCCCAGGTCCCGGGCAGGGTGGGCTGGCTGGGTGTGTCTGCAGTCCGCCTGGCTCCTCCACCCACTCCAGACTCGGAGGCTGGCGCAGATGCGGCCTTGACACCCACAAATCCCAAACCAAGGCCGCCCTCCTCCCCGCTAACTCCCTTCCTGAACGCTGGCTTCTCGGCAGCACAGAACTTTTCTGCCTGAAATGCCAGCAAAGTGGGGACCACCGGGGTTCTAGGAGATGGAGAGAGTACCCTGGTGGGGGGGTTCACTGGGCACCCCCACCCCCGGGCTGCTACCTTCCTCTTCCTGCGGGCCCTCACCTAACCCTCTCTGCAGGCCTGACCCCCTCCACCCCCTCCCCTTTTCCTGTCCTCCCCACCTTCCCCTGTCCTCTGTCAAGCACCTGCAGCCCAGGCTGTAAGGATGAGAGGACAGCCAAGGAGGGGACCCAGGTGACAGCTCAGGGAGGAGGAGGGGTAGGTACCTGGCAACCCTCTCCCCGAGGACCTCAGGCCCACGGAGCTGCCTCTCATCGTGTCTCCACTTGGCCTCTGGCTGTGAGGTTGCTGTGTTTTCAGGGGCGCTTGAGGGCGCAGCTGTGCCTCACCTGCCTCAGGTGTGAGTCATTCCCTCCACTCTCGCCCTGTGAAGAGTGCCCTTCCCACGCCCTCACCTGCCTGTGTCCGCATCTCGGCCTCCCCAAGTTCACACTCCAGCCCCTCACAACCCACAGCCTCTGTCCCGGGTGTGTACACTGCTCTCCCACTGGCTGGTTCCGGGCCCCTGGCATTGCCATCTGGCCTGATGCACCTGTTATACCTCCCCGACTGGACTGGAAGCCCCTTGAGGGAAGAGGCAGCTACAGGGAGGGTGAGCGCAGGCCCAGGGCACACAGACCTAGCCCCAAGCACACAGCTGCGTCTCACCGACTGTGTGACCTTCAGAAACTTCCTCGGCTCCTCTGGGCCTCAGTTTCCCCATGTGGAAAATGGGGATAATGTACCGCTTACCGTCCTGTTGTAAAAATTGCTTGGCCACAGGCAAAAGCCAAGGATGGCACAGAGGTGTCAAACACAGTCCCTGCCTCTAATGGGGAGGGGACTCCTAGGAAGGGATGTGAAGGAAGGGAAGTTCACCCATTCAGTTTTTCCATGCAATCATTCCAACATTCATTCAGTGAATACTGAGTGCCAGGCACCGTGCTCGCCTCTGGGACTGGAGAGTGAACCAAAGAAAAGCCATAATTTCCTCAGAGAACCCCTCCTGCAGGCCTTGGAGACTCTACAAATAACCCCAGGTTCATCCGGCAGGGCTTTCTGATGGGTGGGTTATGAATTCACAAAACCACCATAAAGACCAGTTAGCAGACCCAGGCAGGGCACAACTCTGTGGCACAGAAGGGGCATGTCCTGCTGGTAGCCTCTCTGTGGCCCTGAGGAGGTCACGTTGCCGCCCTCCCCTCTCTAAAGGGTGAGCCATCCCCAGCAGCCTCTGATCTTCCCTTCACCTCCCCACTGAGACCAGGTCAAGGCATAGAAGTGGTCATCTCTCAGGCAGCCCAGGGTCGGAGCGTTTGTTAGCTGTGGGAGGTGCCAGGGCTCCATCAAAGAGAGGGTGTGGACTTGATCTCTGTCCCAAGGAGAGGAGGCCTCAACCCTGATATGTTTTATGAGGACATCAGAGAGTTCACGAAACAAGAGCTGGGATGGGGGAATGGCAACCAGGCCAGCGGGTTCTGAGGAATGGTTGTTTCCAGGCCAGGATGGGCTGGACCTGCCCATGAAGAACCAGGCCAGGATGAGCACGGAGGCAGATGGGGTACTTGTTCTTCCAGCTGCTGTTTAACCCCTGCTGGGCCCAGGCTGCACCCAGGTTCAAGAAACCTGCCAGGGCTAGGCCACTGCCCTGTCAATGACGAGCCCCTCCCCTCTGTCCTGACAGAACTGGGCACTACCACCTTTCACTCCAGCCACCACCTCTTCCCCCCGCCTCAGGTGACAGGCCTAGAAGACAGGATTGCCAGGAAGAACATAAAAGCAGTCCAACCCTGGGCCACCCTAGGGAAGTCCCTGACCTCACACATGCCCTTCCTTCTAAGGGCCCATGGACAAGGGCTGCCTGGGCATTTGGTAGATTTCAGAAAGTGAGGTGGACCTGAATTCAGCATTTAATAATGACGTGACCTAGACAACTTAATTTCCCAGAGCCTGGCTCTCTCCTTCTGTAAATGGAAACATAACCTGCCACGTGAGGCTTAGGCAAGGAAACACACGGGGACCCCCCGCCCCCGGTGCCCTGCTCACCCCTCAGCAGCTGCTGAGAAACGGGGCTTCCTTTCTTGGCAGAGTGGCCACGCCTGGACTGTGTCACCACTGCCACCCCACAGGGACCCGCAAGCCCCAGGACTATAAAGCCTTGTCCAAGCCTGGGCACAGTGGCTCATGCTTGTAATCTCAGCACTTTGGGAGGCTGAGGTGGGTGAATCACCTGTCAGGAGTTCGAGACCACCCTGGCCAACATGGTGAAATCCTGTCTCTACCACAAATATAAAAATTAGCCAGGCGTGGTGGCACAACTCTGTAATCCCAGCTACTCAGGAGGCTGAGGTGGGAGAATTGCTTGAACCCAGGAGGCAGAAGCTGCAGTGAGTCAAGATCACACCACTGCACTCCATCCAGCCTGGGCAACAGAGCGAGACTCCGTCTCAATAAATAAATAAATAAATAAATAAATCAACCTTGTTCAAGAGTAGTTTTGGCTGGCTGTGCCCCACCACTCCCAGCTTCCCACAATGGATTGCTCAAGAGCCTGAGCCCAAAGAGGAAAATAAACAAACACGCAGGGCTTCAGTGTAAAAATGGAGCACGCAGACGGAAAGCAGCAGAATACTCAGAAATGTCTTCTAGCCCAGCGACCCCACGGTGGCAGCTCGAGTCAAAACAGCCTGCAAACAAGGCACATTCAGTCCCCCGTCTCCCTGCGACCAGGGCCCAGCATTTTTTATCACACAACTGCCCAATCCTGGTGGCTGCCCAGCCTGCTTGACACCGAGGGCCGAGATCTTTGGAGGTAACAATGGTGTTTTTCCACCCTGCTCTTACACGCACACCTGTCCCAGGCGTCTCCCAGCCCAGCCACCCGAAGAAGGAGTTCCCATCTTCCTCAACAAGAGGCACCTCCCACCCCAAGGAAAAGCCCTCAGACACAAGGTCTCTGGTATGCAGGTTTATTTTACATTCTCTTCCAGAGGGGACTTGGCGCTGGGGGAGAGCTGGTAGGCAGGGGCAGCACACAGCAGTCTCCCTGAGGAACATCTGAGCCAGGCCAGTGGTGCCCGGCCCCACAGTGCAGGGAGATATGCCAGGCCCAGGCCCAGGACTTGGCAGCCTGTGGGAAGAGGTGGCCTTGGGGCCAGAGCTCTCGTCAGGCCTGGATTGCTAAGAAGGTGCTGGGACTGTGTCTCGCCTTGCTCCGCTCCTGGCACCAGCTGGAGGCCAGAAGGCAGAGGGTGGCCGGCAAGCTGGGGTGCGTGGGAGGAACCCCAGAAGGCGGAGGTGGCCTTTGGTCTCTAGGAGGCTAGGAAGCTGGTCCTGGTTAGAGGAACCCCGTGGGGGCGAAGCGGGGAGCTGGTCCCTGTTAAAGGAAACGCTGGAGCAGGATGGGGGTTGGGGGCTTGGGGTCTGGTCTCAATAAGGCCTGGAAATGGTCTCCACTTCAAAGCAGACCTCTGTATTTGGGGAGTAGGGTGAGGAGGAAATGAAAGGGCTGTGGGAGGAATGCCTGTGAGTCGTGGGTGGGAATCAGTCCAGGGGGCTTCGAGGGGGGTCCGCGGGAAAAGCTGCAGGGGTTATCTGCAGATGCCAGGAGCTCAGGTCCTGGGGAAGGAGGATGTGGGGGGTTCTCTCCCTCCCACGAGTGCTACGGCTCCCCACCCCGTCCTGGTTGGCTCCAAGTTGCCATGGAGACCACTCACACCGGGGCAACGTAATTTCCAGGGAACGTTCCAAATTTCTGGGTCCTCCGGGAGACACCTGAAAGAGGAAAGGCAGGAAGAGCGTTCCCCACTCTCCTCTTTAACTGGGATGCAGGGGCGAAGGCCTGCCCCCTGCCGGCAGTGCCCAGAACTGCAGGGAGAGCTCCTCTCCCACGGAGGGGATTGGATTTGCTCTCCTCCTTCCTGCCCCCTAGCGGCAAAAGCTTAGATGAGCAAAGCTACACTTCCCATACTCAACAACCAAAGAATCCGAGCAATAAACAGATGTGCACCACTCTGCACACAGCACGGAGTCACTCCACCCTTCCTCCGCAAAGTGAGGACGCAAGAGGAGGAATCACATAGAGCACCCTCACTTAGAGATGGGTGGGAAGGCCTAAGAGAAGGCTGAGTGAATTGCCCAAGAGCCCCTGATGCTTAGGAGTAGGCTTGGGACTCCGATCCAGGCCTCTGGTCAGCTACAGTCCCACAGAAACTCGTGTCCTGGAGAGGAGGAGGGGGAACCCTAGCGGGCAGCTCATCTCTGGGAGCCTGGCACCAGGTGCTTCCGCAAAGCCAGCACTTCTGCTGGCTGCCTTCCTTCATGCCCTGAAGAGGGGAAGGCCCTGGAGGGAACTGGCACCAGCCCAGGGTCACTGGTGGAGTCACTAGGGACCCAGGCCAGGGTTCCTGACCTTCAGAGCCCTGCCCCTTTCCCCTGCACACCCCTGCCTCTGGAGCAGTCCCGAAGGAGAGCTCCTGGTGGAAACGACCAGGGCTGACACCTGTGTATCCCTACCCCCCAGCTGGCTCCTCCAGCCTGGGAGGACGGGGAGTGGAGAAATATAGGAATACAGAAACATCATAAATATTATATTTCCATATATAGAAAAAGAGGAATATAAACTGAAATGAATGTCACTCTTGACCTTGGGTAAATGGATGATCCCTGGCCTCCCCTTCCAGACTGGCACCCTGACTTCCTTGGGGGCAGCCCATGCTCGTCCCACCGCCACCCTCTTCCTCTGCCCCGAGTACCTCCCTTTCCTCTCAGTTTCCCCAAATCCTTCCCCTGCCCTTCCAGGCCCAGCTCCCTCGTTTCCTCCAGGAATCCTTCCCTGACCTGCACTACCTAAAATGGTCACCACTCGCCACATGTGGCTGCTGGGCACTTGAGATATGCCCGTGAATTTTTAAAACTGAATTTTTAATTTATCTCATCTGAACTACAAGTAAACAGCTGCATAGGCCAGGGGTGGCCATACCGGAGGGCGCACAGGTGTTACCCATTCCTCTCTAAGCACTTCTGGCTCATAACACAAAAGTGGTGCTTTTTCTTCC